AGGAAAGCCCAATTGAGTGCAAATGTTCATATTTTCAAAAAAGACAGGCTGCAATGCTCACTGATAACCTGAATATATGCTGTCAGTCATCCTCATTAAATGCTATTTATAGAAATACAAAGTGAGCAAAAGCACTGATTTCACAGAGTGGAGGGAAGATTGATGAATGAATGCATAGATGGAAAGGGATAAAATGGTAAACAGTAAAACACTAGCATGAGAAAGCAGATATCAACCTTGTCACCTTCTCATTCCCTCAGTCCTATTACCAAAAAAACCAACCTTTTTTTCTTAATTTTTTTCTCCTCATTCTCCTTCCCAAATTTTAAAAGAAGATCCACAACAGAAAAAAACATTCATTAGGAGTCTCATGCATTTCTGCTACGAAAGTGTCTTCTACATGGCAACATTTTAAAATTAAACATGCTGAAGTGTTTAATTTTAATATTTAATTATTATATTATTATTATATAACCTACAATACAATGAAAGACTGCTCTCCAAGTGGCATAGGAGGTGATCAGTAAAAACACACAATACATCATCTCAGGGGCAGTTCAGACTACCACCTGCAAGACTTGGCTGACAAAAATTAAATATGATCAATCACACACAGAATAAAATGAAATACAGCAAATTGCTGTAGTGAAGCTAGATTAATTTGCTGATACCAGCTCAAGGTGCTCTTTGCACTCCTCATTTGAGACTCTGATGGGAAGAGCTTCAAATGTATCGGTGCTAGAGGAGTGGTACCCCACACCAGCACGTCTCACCCATTTCTTGCTATAACAACAGGAAGGGGAAATGGAGGCTGCTGGACATACCTGGAGTCACAGGATTGTTCAGGGTGGGAGAGACCATTGGAGGTCATGTGGACCAAGGCCCTGCACAGAGCAAAGGCAGCTATGAAGTTAGATGAGGTTCAAAAGAATGTTATTCAAGCAAATTTTGAATATTTCCAGGGACAGGATGCCACACCACCACAGGGAAATCTCTTCCAGCACCTAACCACTCCCATTGCCAGAATAGTTTCCATCATACCCAATGGGAATTTAATTTATGATCACTGGCGGCTCTAGTCCTTTCCTGTATGCCTCTGAGGAATGTCTGGCTCCATCTTCTGTTTCTGAGGGCATCAGCAAGATCCCACCCCCCTTCCCACCTCAAGCCTTTTCATTTCCAAACTGGAGTAACATGGCTCCAGATGGATTTTGCCCTGCTAACCGATACTCTTTGACAGAGGTTGTGGTCTGCAGTGTAGACTTCTAGTCCGCTGGACGATGGGGGATGTTTTCAACAGAATGTGAGACTTCATCTTACTTTTTAATGTGGTATGTTCTTCCTATTTATTTAGCAGGTTTTAATTTATATAACTTTGATGAAAAACATTGGAAGGTCTTGAATCGGACAAATTTAGATTTCGTTTCTTTTAACAATTTATCCCTCTACCAGAAATTACAGTATTTCAAAACTCTGTTATATTTTCCTTTTCATAGGTGTACAAGAGAATGTCAAGTAAAACTGCCATGTCCATGTTTATCTGAGCAGTCATCAGAAGAAAACATACCCGTCTGAGATGGCAATGACAGTTCAGCTGTAGCCCTCTAGAAGGTGGTCAGTGACACAGTTCTCTTCCTCATCCCATGGGAAAGAAACTGGAATGTGTCTCTGTAAGTTACTAGCAGAAAGATAGGTCTCCGAGTCAAATTGCTGACACGAGATGCGTTTGGAGGCTCCTGTGCACTGAAGTGAGCAATGCAGACTGTTTTCCTTTCCAGATATTTGTGACTTACATAATATGTCCCAGATTTTGAAATGGGACTGTGCAGTTCTGGTGATGAACCAAGGGAATTATGCAGCTCACTCCTCACGACTCTAATAACTTTGGATGATTGTTTCACATGATTCACTTGGAGACCTTTTCTGATCCTCATCATGAAAGAATTAAAAAAAAAAAACAAAACAAGCAGAAATGTATCATATGTTTAAGTGTCAAAAACATCTCTATGCTTTCAAAAACAGGGAAACAAGGAAATCAGAAAAATATACTTTTGCCTATCATGGAAAGTGTCAAAATTTAGAGGAATGCAGTACAACTCGATAAACTGTAAACTGCATTAAGTTAATTACATAAATTCTGGGTAAGTTCACATTGCATATTATTTTCCTTTAACAAAACTTCTTGCTAAACTCAGAAAGTGTAACTGGCATAATGCAGTTCTCAGTATGTTTGGTATTACATTTAAAAGGCTTCATTCATTAAAGTTTTCATGTGTTATTTAAATCACTGCTTGGATCTAGTACAGTTTGTATTAAAGGATAATATTCAAACTAAACATACAGCTTTTTAACAGATGTTTAATTACAGCAGCTTCTCAAACTCCAAAATCATTTGTGGATCTCTTTTTATTTCAGATGAAACTACTTATATACAAATGTGGGCTTTGGCCCATTTCCTTTCTTTGGTCCATTATCCTTTCACTGTCATGGGGGGGTGGCAGCATTTTTAGCCCAAAAGAGTTAGCTCCTCATTGCCAGTTCTGAGACAAGCTGACCAAAAAACTCTAAAACAAACGAGTAGCAGATGGAAAAAAAAAACAACAAACCCAACAAAAACCATAAACTGAAATTGTTATTAATTTTCTAAATTCTTTAAACAAAATACCACTAATTCAAAGTGTAACCTCAGAACTCACCTCTTGCCTGCAGTCTTAACTTTTTCACCCTGTGTTCTCCAACAAGTTGTCTAAGTTTGATGCACTCTCCTACAAATATACAAGAATGCAGTTATTTATTGTTCAACTGCTGCTTTATTAAAGAAATCTCTTGTTCTCACACTCCTAGCTACCTGCGTACTGAAAAGATCCAGCTTTGAGCGGAGGTGGAATTCTTGGTTAACAAATGCAAAAAACAGTTGCTACCAATAAACTTGTATGGAGTAAAAAACCAGTTTTATTGTGTTATTAGAAATCTGAAAGTAGATTTAGTACTTTCTGAATTTATCTTTGACTCAGCAATGTCACAATACCATCTTTTCTCCATCTTCCTGAGATAAGTGAAGCCTGGTGCTTTCTGATTGTACGAAGGTCACTCAAGAAATACAAGAGCGATACGCTGAATGCTTCTCTCACCCTTGGTCAAATTCATCCCGTTGTAAGGCACAACCAGACTGGACTCAGTGGGACTTCAAGAACTGCACTAGGCTTGTGCTGCCCTTCTGCAGAGAGATTAATTTAATTTCCACAGTGATGATGGTGCTGCCTTCTCTGTGAATGAACTCTGAATGCATATTTTATATCACCTTGCTTCTGAAAGCCCATTTCTTGAACAAAAAGCTAGTAAAAGTGAAGATCAAGGAGTGGGAATTAGAGAGAGACAAGATGAAGGTTTCCAATAACACACACAGTAGTTTTTAAATAAATATTTTAATTCTATTATTGGCATTTACAGGTAGAAAGCATACAGTATGTTACAATTTTATCAAAATGTGAAAAATACGGATGTTACATAAGTAACAAATGTAAAAAAAGTATTTTTCTTACCTTCCCTGAAAGTAAGAAAACTATTCAGCATAGGAAAATATTGATATAAAAACACAGCTTAGGTAAAAAAAAAAAAGTTTTTACACAGTACGATAGGTTCATCAGATCTGCATGAAGATGTAAGGATTTTGTGAGGTTCTACTTTACCTAAAACTTCAGGGAATTTGGGTCAAATAGTAAGCTACATTAATGAATCTACAAGTAGTTTTCCCTCATATCCACTCCGAAATGCTAGAGTGCAGTAATTTTCTATACAATAAATAATTCTTCAAAGTTTCCATCATAGAAAATCATATAATGCAGAAAATGCCACTTCAAGGTCACAAAGGCTAGGCAGTGCTTTAATAAAAATTATGATAATACTTATTATAGTGCTTTATAATGTCTAAGCACTTCAGAGGAGTTAACTAATTAGTCCTCACAACACCCCTGTGAGGTAGGTGTTTTTCCTACCTTTCCATTGTACAGATGGGAAAATGAAATCTGGGGAGAAGCAGAGGCTGCAGCAGCAGCACAGCCGAGAGGAAAGCCCAAGAGATGTGGAAATTGAGGTTTTTTTCCCTTGCTCCCATTGACCGTGCTGCTGCCGCTGCCGCAAGCCAGGCTACTTGGCTGGGCTGACAGACTCCAATCCCTCCCCTGCCACTGGAAGCATTGAGCGGGGCGGGCAGGGATCGAGGTTTAAGCATCCCAAAATATTCCATAGAGATTCAGAAGCTCTCACACAACTTTGTCAAGAAAAACAAAAACACAAACACAAAAAAAAAGGGGGGGGGGGGGGGGGGGGGGGGGGAAAAGAGGAAAAACCTCAAACAAACAAATAAACAAGCTGAAAAGAAAAAAAACTCCTAAAGTGCTGACTGGCTTGAGCTGCTTCTAGCACCTCCTGTATGGAATAAGACTTACAGCACTGTTGCCAGCAATTTTTCAAGCTGATTTCATCCATAAAGTTACATCTGACCAACTGCAGGATATGGTAATTATGTTTACTGAGACACCTTACTACTTTAATTCCTTCATTCACCATCCTCCTTCCATGCACTTCCTTAAGGAAAATTAAATCCTCAATACTCTTGCATCATAAAACATGTTAGTAGCTGGAGACAATATGCACATCCTTCACAATTAAAAAAAAAAAATAGTTCATTTTCAGAACAAAGCATTATTAATTTAAGAATCACAAACCAAACAATGGTAAATAGGAAACCCTTTTCAAAGGCTGCATGCCGAATATCTTGTTTTCAAATACAATGCATGCAGGAGAAATAAATTCATCCAAGCATAATTAAATTAAAAATGTTTTCAGTCTCTTTCAGCAGCATAATGGTTATTATTTTTAAAGTCTCCTCCAACCAAACTGGCCTGGGGTTCAAACGTTGACCTTTGCTTTTCTGCAACCATATAATGGTTTGAACAGTCCCCGTGGCTTTGCACTGTGGCAATACCAGGAGATAAAACCTACACATACTGTTCTGTTTCCCCGTCCTTGGAAACAGGCTTCGCTGTACCACCTTTGCTGTCTTCACTTGCTGCTGCTGCTGCTGCTGCTTTTTCAGGCAGTGATGCCAAATCTTTGAAAACATCCACATAATGCCCAAAGCCCGGGCCCCAGTTCAAGAGATTGTCCCAGTTGAAGTTTCCTGCTTGCTGCCCCAGTTTTGCAGGCAGGGAGCTCTCCCCAGCACTGGTGACGGTCGCCTGTGCCCCCACCGGACCCCCCTCGCCTCGGCGGCCAGGGTAGCGCCGGGGCTTCAGCCTGGCACCGTAGTTGTCCTCGTCATCCGCATCGGACTCATTGACCTGGGATAACTTGGGCATCCTGGAGGTGTACGCTATGGGCTTGTCCCTGTCATACTCCATCTCCGAGCAGGTGAAGGACTCATGGGAGTCACTGTCAGAGGAAGACTCGGGTGCAGGAATACCATCGGCTGGGTTCCTCGTCCGGGAGAGAGGCCTTCTGCAGTCCTCCTCAGAAGAGGATCGGCCATGGTCTGCGCTGCAGATGCTGGGGTTTCTGGGGCGAGGGGTGTTCAGTCTCTCTACTTCTTCAATGGACAGCCCCACTGGAGGAGCAGTCTCCAGAGGAATCTGCCCAATGGGCTGCTTCAGGCGGCTTCCCGGGCGGGAACCATGGCTCGCCATGGTCTGTGGACTCTTACTTCTCCTCCCCAGCCGAGTGGCGTAATTAAAAATGCCAGGCTGGCAGACATCGTTGTGCATCTCCAGCGGGCTCCCTTCCCTTATGGCAAGGTGCAGCTCCCTGGCTGGACTGTGCCTGTAGAAAGTTGACGATTTGGAGAAGGGTGCAGGGCTGTGCCGAGACAGGGGGTTGGGAGTAGGGCATGCTGAGTGGCTTAAAGACGTTGTCCTCAAGCCCTGCCCGTAGGCGGGCTGGTAGGTCAAGCTGCTGGCTCCCAGGGGCATGGGGGACTGCCGCGCGAAGCCCAGTGGGCTGTGCCGCTGGATGGAGAACTTGGGGGTGTGGCTCCGAAACTGCTTGTAGTGCTGGATGATGTCGGCATCCGAGGGGGCGATGCTGCTGGCATTGTCAATGTCGTAGTGCTCGATCTCAGGCTCGGGGGAAGCCAGCGGGGCACTGGGGATTGTCTCTGTGGTGTGTGGGATGTCCGTTTCATCATAGATGAGATACGGGTTTTCTCTTTCGATGATATCAGGTTTCGGATTCCCTTCGGGCTGCTTTCTGACGGTCATGTCATCGCCATAGGGCGGGATGTTGTCAAGGTCATCAAATGCCACATTCTCACTCCCTTTTTTCTTCTTTTCCTTTGTTTTCTTCTCCTCTTTTGGAGCTTTTGACTTCTTTCCTCTGCACTGGTTGCAGAGGATGAGGCTGAGGACCAGCAGTGCCAGGACTGTCGCACAGCTGCCCACAATAGCCGGCACAGCCCAGAGGGGCAGGGACAGCTCGGCAGGGTGTGGGGATGGAAGACAGATGTGGCCACCATTGATCCCTGCTCTACACTCATGGTCTGGGGGGCACAAGACCCCCAGGCACGCCACCACTGCCTCGCACGTCCGTCCTGCGTACGCCTCGGGACAGCTGCACGTGAAGCCGGTGTATGCCCCGGGCTCACAGCTGCCCCCATTTTGGCAGGGGCTGGAGGCACAGGCGCCCGGCGGGACGCACTGGTAGGCATACCACCGGTTGATGCACATCAGCTCGCCCCAGCAGGGACTGCTGGCACAGACGTTGGGGCCGCGGCAGCCGATCTTCACCGACGGGTCTGTTTTGGAGAGAGTGGCGAGGCTGTGCTTGCCAACGAAGGGAAGGCTCTCTCCACCATACTTGATGTAGGAAATGCAGCCATCGAAGCCTACGAGGAAAAGCAACAGTCACGTCAACAGAGGCCAAAGACACTCTGTGCATCAATATCACACTAAAGGGGAAACCTTTTGATCGGCAGAGGACAAGATGTGCTGTGTGCCTCTTGCACCCTGAAAAGTAAGGGGAAACACAAACACAGAAGCAACAGAACGGAAAACCCAACACTACAATGGAGGCAACAGCCTTATTTCGTGATGTGGTTTTAAGCTGAGTGAGGGGTAAATCACACTGTTAAGTTATGCACATGAAGCCTCCATATTTTCACAAGTGAATCTTACATTTACTGAGCTTACAATCGCTTCCCCACATTTTAACCTTGCATTGTTATTAATGTACAAATACCCTGTGATATTAACCGTAATGGTGTAATATTTAAGTAACCACTTATTTGCTAGAAGGATGGCTCATTCACAGATGCTTCAGTATCTGACAATCTGCACTGACATTAAGGCTCAGGTGTAAGGAACATTGTGTTGCTTCTGTTAACTATTTCCTCTTACGTTGTAATGACTATTCTGTTCATAAACTTAACAACAACAAAATATTCTTAGGTGAGTAAATAAAATGTACCAAAACCTGCAATTTAAAATGCTGAAATTAACATGTTTTCTAGAAGACCTAACATTCTGCACTCCCATTGCTTTCATTAAACTAGGTGGCTCACACATAGACTCAACTCTGCAGCTTAGTGAGCAGATTAGATCTGATGTTTACAGTGCAAATGGACACTTCTGTGATTGTATCGTGCGTGTCTTACAGGTAGACTCATGGAAGGAAGCCTGAAGGTTATGTTCTCAGATCTTTATTATAAAGTAATTTCCCCTTGACGCATAATTATTTTGCCAAAATACTAAGCAATGAGCATATGGCTGAATTTTGCAGAAACATCCTATTTTCTAAAAACATATTGTTCAACTGATTCAATTTTTAATTTATAGACCCATTTCACTGAAGCTAAATGAAAGGCTCCATTGTTCAGTAAATAAGCCAAGAATTCAGATGGTTACCATAGGGAAACATCTATTCTAATAGTATTTTAAATGAATTTGAACGAATATTCCTTCTAACAACTTCATTCAATACACTTAAATGCTTTTGTTTCCTAATTTTCCCGTATTTCTAAAACTTCTTATCACACACACAGAGAATCCTGTGCGCAGCTGGCTTGGCTGTGCTAGCAGAAAGCATTAGTTTCCATTCCCCTCTGCTTGTGTGCTTTCTAGTTTCCCCTATTCTGAGCAGAAGTTGCCTACTGTGCTTCAGCTAAGCCTCCTGTGCTATTGTCTCCTAAAATCATGGCAATACTTTTATGTCTCTGAATCCTGAGTGGTCTTTTCCAAAACTTCCCCTAGCTTGGTTGTAGGGCTGCCTTGTCAGTCGTGACGCCAAGTTACAGTGCTGCAAGAGGCCAGGGAGATGGGATTATCCCCAGCATTTGTGTGGTGTATTTGAGTTTGCAGGAAAACCCAGCCTTTTGCCAGCCTCATAATTCTCTGTGTTCCCAAGACTTAATCCCTTCTGCCAGGGTTTTAGGATAGTGCAACTTTACTCTGACCTCTGCGCAGAGCTGTGACAAAACGGTATGCAGAGATGTGTTTGTAAGTTATACTCTCAGTGTCCACATGTGCAGTTGGCTGCAAGAGACGTTTATTTCTCCTTAACTTCTGATGGAATGTACTTGGGATATGTGCACGGTGCCAGGTTTACAGGAAGATATTATTCAAGACCAAATGTATCAGTTATTATCAATAGAAATAATCAGCAAGGAGAAGGAAAGTGCCACTACTTAGTTGTGAAGCATCTCGCTTGGGTGAAAAGAATAAACAGAAGCAAATTTTCCATGTGTTAGCAGTGTCAAAAAAAAAAAAAAAGGTTCATTTCTGCAAACGTAGTGTTGGAATGGAAGAACAGCCACTATGAATGGTAACTTCGTGAGTAATTGTGGAAATCTCTGTAAAAATGGGTAGCACAGAGATAAATGTTATGAATATTTACTCTGTTATGGAATAGCAAATATACTCTAGTTGTATGAGGTGATATTACAGATTTATAACCTTTTAAGGATGTTGTTTTAAAATTTGAACACCCTTTGATGCCAGAAATGAAATATGAGTGGGTATCAACATCAAATAGGTTTCACTGAGAGATGCAAGTCATGTGGTGTAAAGGGACTTGAAAGAGCCTTCTACGTTTTGCAAGCATGCTATTTCTGTATTATTTCCATTCTGAAAGAGGTGCATTTTCTTTCAGCGCTACTTATACTATCATTTTCTCCTGTTTTTACATTCCCAAATAAAGAGGAAATTGAGGATTTAGGTTCAGGTGGGAGCCCAAGCAAACTGGATGATTACCTTGCCACATGCTTGGTGGTCCCTTGCAGCAGTGATGTGATAAACAGAAATCGGGATTTTCTCGGGTCTACCCAGGTTTGAAAATGTTATTGGATATACCAGCTTCACAGCCCTGAATTGTCACCCATGTATGTTTTTGTCTGCCTTTAACAGTACTGCAGATATTTTTGACCCTCTGAGTTCATGCAGAGTTTTATACCTCCCCCTTGTAAAACCTTGGTATGTTGTACACAATGTAATCTAATATTAAAATAAAATAAAATCATATGAATAAGAGATTTTGGATTGTGTATTCCTAATGGAAGCCAGACATTCCTAATTTGCCTGCTACAGCATCAGGCAGTGGTGAGATTTTAGTGTCCTCAGTTTTCTTTGTTCCAGCTTTCCTAAAAACCTCTGACTTTTCCATCCATACACTACTCATAAAACATACGTGTAAAAATGGTAAAGGCAAGCATAGCATTCGTATGATTTCATACTGCATTTCAGACAGATTCACAATACACAAATGTGTATTGTGAATTTGCGCCACTCAAAGATCCTTTATCTGGTCACAATTCTTGAAGTCAGGAAGATTTTTCAATATAAAAACTCTGTGAAACCAATGCCTGTATTGTCTGGAATATCTCACAGTTTGTAGCTAAAAATCCCTTCCATCTTTACTTATCACTGGGGGAATGATATTAAATATATGTTATCTACTTCTTTTGCCCAGGCCTAAGACAGAGAGATTGATTTACTTTTTAACAGCTAGATTTCAGTCAGAGGGTGGTTCCTTATTGTCCTTGGTTTCTGTTGCTGAGAAATAAATCCTGTTCTTCATTTGACAGCAGGATAAAGCAGGAGGAAGTTAGAGTTTCAGAAAATATTTTAATCATATTAAAAACAGGCTAAATCCTGCACTATTTACCAAATCCCTACGAAGTTCTCTTTTAGCATTTTTGCCTAAGTAAAAGATTTGCCTTGATTTTCCAGATTCAGGTGAAGAATAGATCCTTTCTTCTCCATTAGCATAATAAAATTATAACAACTGATTTATAAACAAGCAAGCAAACCCACCTCCTGCCTCCAAAAAGCCCTGCAGATGGAGTGCCTGCTTTTGGAAACAACAAGGCTACAACGTACACGGAAGGAACAAAGTCTGCAATCCTCACTCATTCAATTTGCAGTTTTCCTGGCAAAGTACGGAGGCATATTAGTTACTAATAGAGAGTTATGGTATGTTCTGCAAGCTTTAAGCAAACAGAGACCCTCTGTCAAATCTGCTTATGTGCACCATATTAAGAAAAAAAAAAAAATTTACCTGCAACTGTGCTCTTGAAAGGTTGGCTGGATGGGATTCCTCCCAAAGAAATTGTAAGAACATTTAGTCCACCAAAGTCTTGCGTGGCATGGAGAATGTCTCGGCTATGAGTCTTGTCGACAGACAGGATAGTAGCAGACCCATTCTTCTCAATGAGTACCGAATGCCACTGACCATCTGCAGCGTACACTTCTGGGATATTCCTTTCCACCTTCCCAGCAATTCCAGCATCGGATACATAATGCACTTTCCCACCTTTTATCTGAGCACAAAACAGTAAACCGCATAATTTTAAAATGACAGACACATAACCACTCCTATACATACATCACCAATGTAATGCCTATTCAGTACAGCTACAGCAACACATGGCTGTAATAGGAAGCCAGGGTGTATTTTTCCCCAAATAATTGTTTTGTACTAAAAATGTATTAATTATTGAGTTCTAAAAATTTGGCAGCAATTAAATATATCATTGCATCTGTAGAAAACTCAGAGCTGCCATGCACTCATTCACTGGTTGATCTCATAAGAGAAAAACCTGTTGAGAGGCCAACAACAGGGCATGCACATGACAAAACATTTTAACCAATAAAAGAGTAATTCTCCCTCCTTCTTCAATGCAAGTGTGGAAAATGCTTTGCAGAGTAAACAGATGTTGTCCCTGCCCAAAAAACTTGCATCTAGTTTTCATTATGACACAGCAGAGAGTTTGAACGATTCCCATTTCCTATCTGTTTTGCTCTTAATTTGCACTTTTCAGAAAAATAGTTGTATTTTAGAAACCTTTCTATAGAGTTGCAAAGTGTATTATTTTGTGGGAATTTTAAAAAGGTGATTACTTGAGCAAACCTCTTTTAAACTTGTGAGTTGTCAGGGAAAAAAAAATACCAATGTTCTATTGAATTCCATGAAAAATTTTTTGGCTTTTCCTCTAGGAATGACGCCTCGCAATTCTACTGAATCATTAGATGCCAGATTTCAAACCTCTTACTAGCTCAATATTAAATGAGCCCAAAATGAGATCAGTGTAAATTCTGCATTTAAGATATAGGAGTTTTAAAAACACCCAACATCCAAACCTGCCAGCTTCCCAAATATTGCACAGGAGTCAGGTACCTCAGCTGACCTCGTAAGGGCATACAGACTCGTGCACAGCTCATGTTGGGCAGCTCTGCAACTTGTTGCAAGTTTCCTTCCATACTCTGCACGTTTGGTCATACATGTTAAATAAGACATGTTAAATTTTCCCTTCTGGGTTCCTTGCTGCAACTCGCCTGGTCCGTGATGTGTAACATGAGCATGCAGAACGTGCACACGCATAGTCCAGGAAAGGTCGAAGCCCTTGTTGAAAGCTGTTGAGGTTTGTTGAAAGCTCTCTACGCTTGCATGCTTTGTTCCAGGAAAAATAACGTTCACCTGGGAAGAACTGTGAGGTGACACATGGGCAGCAAGAATGCTGCTCTCGTTTCCAGAAACTGTTAAACAGTCTGGACTTACTTCTTTAGTGATGCAAGCTGAGGACTTTGTTCATAGTGATCAGCTTTAAATATGACTGTAAGACCATGCTCAGGTCTTGGCAGCAGCCTGAGCTGAATGTGTCTAGCACGTATTCCATTTGTTTCAAGAAATACAATGGTTAATATGTCCATGCGCTTAATGTATAAATGCCATAATTTGGGTTATTTGAAAATTAATTGTTTGAGGGACTCTGATAAAGCTGCCCTTCAGAGGTAGGACGCTTTTGTTACTGGCAAACACAGGTGGCATACACCTAAATTACTACACAGCCCAAGAAAATTTCACATTTGGAAATGCAGTCACAGAGACCGTTATAACATATTAAACACTATTTGCCACAATCAAAGGTATTTATAAAAAGATTAACTGGGCAGAATATATGCATATATTTATATCTGTAACCTGTAATTGGTGTCTTAGTCTTATTTTGTCTTTTATGCTCCATGAAAATACTGGTTTGTATTTTGGTCTTTATGTAAGGGAAAAAAAAAAAAATCAAACAATATCCTCTAAGCTTATGGGAAGACTAAACAAAGAATCATAACTTTTAATTCCACATTACAGAGGAATTGTAGAATTATTTACCTGTCAGCAACTGATATTTTCCATCCGGATTTATGACTCTCTAGCTCTATTTCTGTTTCTTTAAAATTGCATGTGACTGATGCTAACAGACTCATAAATAATATATTAGTGGCATTTGGAAAATAAAATTTCCAGAGACAAGACTGGTCCATGACTTCTTCAACCAGGAAAATATAAGGAATGTTCTTGATTCCTTGAAGCATAACATATTTCTAAATTTGAAACAAATGCTGACGCTGACAACATTGAGTAACAACCATTTCTGGGTTTTATTTAAAGGAAGAGCAACAGATGAGCAGAATATAATGAAAAGAATGAACCACTAAAGAAAACATGTTCCTAACTACAAGGATGATTCAACTTTACTAATATTTTGAGTCTCCTTTACTGAGCAAATTGCTTCTTATTTGTCTTAAAGCTGAGCACTAGCCTTCACAGATTTATAGCCCACTGGATATCATTTTAATTATGTTCTGATTTATTCCTGCAACTCGATATCTGCATAGAATCACAGAATGGTTTGGGTTGAAAGGGACCCTTAAAGTCCACCTCCCTGCCATGGGCAGGGACATCTTTCACTAGATCAGGGAGCTCAAAGCTCCATTCAACCTGACTTTGAACACTTCCAATGATGGGGCTTCCACAGCTTCTCTGGGCAAGCTTTTCGAGTGCCTCACCACCCTAACACATGCATATATTAGCTCATATAGGTAGCACGTAATCCACATTCTCCACCTTTACAATTCACAGACCTTAGAGCTACAGTTATGCTAATTTAATCTGATTTCAGCTAAAACAAGGCAGGCCTACACATGGGTTAGGTTCACCAACACCTTGGGTCACTGTCAAGGGAAGTGCTCGTCATGACACCTACTCTGAGTATGAGTGGTGGTGCAGGAACTGTACTAACTGCAGTTAAGTCACTGCAGTTTTACTAACTAGCATCATCTGGGAACTTTTCAGCAATAACCAGTACAGTGATGTTACCTCTCCTTCCTCAAACTGCTGCATCTGTTACTAGGCAGAGCTCCACTCTTTGTCCTTGCACAGCTGGGTCTGAGACTTGACACCCTCTGCTTGCTTGTATAACTTCACCAATATTAACAATAATAAGAGTGTGTGCATAAACATACCACTAGTGCTTTCAGCCAGGAAAGGCAACTATCCCCGTTTTCTCTTTTAATAATGCTTGTAGAGCTGACCTAGCAAATTCTACTAGGGAAAAATAGGTAGTACTTGATTTTTTCTCTCCAGTACTCAAAATAATGAGCCTTATCTGCTAATATGACTGAGGCAGAAACTTCCTATCAAATGATGTGGCAAAAGTGTACACCAGGGAAGTAATGCAGACTTGCTTAAATGCAGCCAGTGTGTCAGGAAAGCTCTACACCCCTGGTCAAGCAGGTGGAGAATAACCACAGGGCCGAAGATTAGAAAGTGTGAATTTCTGTATGAATTTCTTTAAAAGTCAGGGAAAAAACTTGGAAAGCCTTACAGCAGTCAAGGAAACTTGGAGCTTACACCAACCCAATAAAGGGGCTTGCCAACATCACTGCTGTACTCATTTAGAGTTATGAGTAAATGGACTGAGTCATAGCCAAGAACTGAACCATTGCTTTCTCTTGAGAAAGGTAACTTCTGCAGCAATAAACTCTCTGGGGGGAAAAAAAAAAACAAACCAAAAACTCAAAGCAAACCAAAACATCAAAACTGTGTGGCATTTGAAGCACTAATTCAGCTACACCTCTCAAAATAATTTGAAAATGACATTGGTCTATGGATAACCTCATGAATTCAAGTTCTCTCTCACTTTCTAGTTTGATAAGCATGAGCAACGCTAGTAGGAATTAATGAAAAATTTTTTGGCAATCGTTTGCTAGCTTAAGAAAAGTCTGGGTTCCAGGCCCAAAAAATCAGAAGATAAAAGGCCAATAACGAAACGACTGTGTTGCATAGAGTGTAACTTCAGGATGCTAACAAATATGGCAATGAGTACTGTTCTTGCTGCCTTAAAACAGTCACTATTTGGAGTCTAGACAAAACTGATTAGATACAAACCCATCAAGATCTTCTGATACCTTGGCAAATAGCAAGGGAATTGTTGAGAAGATGAATGGTACTGGAACAGTGCCTAGCCTCAGCTAAAGACCTAATATTTTATAAAGGAAACAGCAAGAGTAATGGAAAAATGTGATTTTGATCACTGTGCATGAGGCAGTCCAATCAAATCAAACTCAGCATTAGCTGTAATCTTACCTTCACAGTAGTGAAGTTGCTGCTTTCCTGGACGTGAACTAAAATGCCGTTCTCGCTTCTTGTCCTGAACTTCACTTCCAAGCGGTCCACGTTCGGGGGTCTCGGGTCAGCACCTCGAGTGTCGTGTCTGATCATGTATTCTCGCTTCTTACTTGGGCTGATGTGATAGTCAAGTCGTCCTTTGCCTTCTAGCGATAAGGCAGTGTCGGCAGTAATATCTGGGGGAAGGACAGGGAAGTACTGAGGATGCAGCTCGTTACAGCCATAAAGATCATCTGCCTAACAACGACCATTTTCTTTCAGAGCAGAGATCAAGTTCAGAGCAGGTCAGGGGGAGAAAGCAGGAGTGAATGGCAATTTCAGCCCCTCAATTCTTTGGCCTCAACCAGAATGTGTGTTTGAGAGTGGGAGTGTGCTAGTAATTTACTGCTGCTATCAGTCAATAGTAAATTAAAACTCGCTAGGGAACAAGTGAGGGAGTAGGGAAAAAAAATTGGCTCTCAGAACTGTAATTCCTTCCCAGGGATGTTACTGTTTCCATTACTGCAAGCAGGGTTTCATGATATATTGAACTCTAAGCTCTTCAGGGCAGAGATAATGACTTTCTATTTGTTATGGCATTAAAAAAAAAAAAAAAAAATGACAGACATTGACTACCAAATGCTGTTAAAATTATGGCTAAATTCTTTTGTAAACCAGCGCAATAAAAACACATAAATCAGCTAAATAATAATGGGACATGCAAGAAAACAAAACCCAGTCATTATACTACAACTACACGGAAATAAATCACTTTGCACTCCTATATTGATTTACAGAGCTATCCATATGTGAGTTAGTAACCCCAGAGTGTAAATGGCTTGCTTTTATTTACATTTGCCATATTTTCTTTCATACAATCTGCTGGTCATTTGATTAAAAGGCCTACAGTTCGGAGAAGCCATAAGCGCATGCACACAATGTTTATGTGAAGGGAGAGGTTTTCCCTTACCCTCTTACCTCCCCATAGCAGACAAATCCCTCCTTTTGGATAGCTTTATTTCAGTTACTGATTATACATTACTGGGAAGCAGTAGTTTTAAATGAGTGCAAGTTACCTGAAATGTGATATACAGACCAGAAAACACATAACTTGCTGCTATTTTTAGCTCGTGAAAGGACAATAGTCCATTGCCAACTTTTTCTTCAAAATTATTTATGCGGCAAGCACGCTGCTTTTCACTAATTTATAAAATTCATTATCCCACGGGCTTGAAGGGAAACTCTCAATGGCATTTGGTTAAACCACAGTTAGGTGTACACTGAAGAGAAAGACAGTAACATCCCCACCGTACATTTTTCACAGTGCTTTCCTGTCAGTCCATCTTTGCAGTGACACTGCTGCCACGACCAGTGATCAACACAGGTACCACCATGTTGGCAGGGGCTCGTCATGCAAGCACCTTCTAGTCTGGGACACCTGAAACAAATCAGAAAAGCTAATGTTGAAGAATGTCTGCACAAATAAGCACAGTAAATGTGGTTGGAAGCTTCTTCATGTGTTTGAACGATACTCCCCTTTCTTCTCCCTAGAAAAGCAAAAATGGAGAGGCTCTTGTCCATAGACAGCTCATGTGTCTAAAGAGATCCCAATTTTCAGCATCAAATTATAACAGTGTTACAAAAGATAAAGGAATTCAAAGACAGTGAAATTCCTATTACTCATTATGCAAGAGGCAAATAAACTCCTTAGGGTGTTTTTTATCCTGCAGACCTCCAGAGACTTCATACACAAAGGACAGTGCAAAACTGGGGGTTCAAGGAAGAAGGGTGCGCTAGCAAATTTGGATGCAACATTGACATTGTTGCTACAACTGTGACTTCAAATACTGAGATGGAAAGAACAATAAAATCAGATAGTCCGTCATTCCTGAAAGACAACTCAGAGGATAAGAGGGAAATTCAGTGATACTGGAGAGGCAAAGTGATAGAACAGACATTGTGGATTATGAAGAAATAAGAGGGAGTAGAGGACTAACAAACAGTATGAGTACAGTCAAACCCAGGTGGAATTTATAAAGAAACCCGGTAACAAGGCTACTCTATTTCAGCCTGCAAATCCATATTAATAATTATTGGCAATAGAAATGTAACAATGTTGCTTTTTTGAAGACTCTGTAATCTTTAGTGAACCTTGAATCTAAATTCACGTTCTTCCTACCTTTTTCACATTTTACAATAAATTCTCCAGTCATTTTTTTTACAAGAAATATCTAACAGTGTCTGAATGGAATAGCATCTGACTGTCATGACAGCTTCCGTTATTGTAAGCACGGACCGTTCGATACCATATATAGCAGACGTACTGATCTAAGATTCCTTGAGCTGTCAAAGCCTGGCTGGGCTCCAGGGGACGTCCGTTGACTGCAAACTCCATTATACAGCCCACAAAATCATGACTTTCCACCTGTCCTCTCCTTTGAAGGATGGGTTCTACAGACCTGATGCCACCAACAGTAACTCGATTTGGTTGTACATCAAGAGTCCTATGAAAGAGTCAGAAAAATAATTCATCAGTATCAGACTTTAAAATAGCAATGACAACACAGGAACTGTTACCATCAGCTATGGTCTGTGGCTAAAATTCCTCTCCCAACATTTGTATTTTACATTTAGAAGGGGAGACAGACAGATCAATGGCACTTGAACCAACAGTTATAATGGTTATGACTCTAAATTCATACTCAGTTAATGCATGTCAAAATCTCTGTTCACTTGACTGAGCAGCATGCTTGAAATCATAATGAATAAGGATTTTTACTCAATTATCATTTAAGTCGTGATGATATTTAAATAGCTGGAAGATGGATTCATTATTTTACAAAGATATAACAGTTTTGCTAGTGGGGAAACCACATGTGACAGGAAATATGATTGTGATTATTGTAAGAAACTAGAAAAAGTTATTGGGATTAAATTTATTGTTTTCTCCAAAGATGATCTAAAGATGTAACAGAAAAGTTAAAACAGAGTTAGTTCTGGTAAACACAATAAATAAGGTTTGTTTTCTGTACTGGCCAATAGTTAAGAAACGCAAAATGTAAAAGCTGACATCTGGAAATTACTCAAAATAATGTCAAAGTAATTCTTAATTACTAATTTTTTTTTTAAAAAAGAGAGCAGTAATCAGGTATCTCTTACACCTTTATCAGAAATGAGATATGCAGTTTAAATAATAATAAAAATAAACACAAGACCCCAAATCAAAGCCCAAAACTGAACACTGAAGTGAAAAACAGGTGCTACTAGAGGACTAGCATTTTGACTCAGCATCTAGTTTTAGCAAGATAGATAGGATTCAAAACGTAAAAGTGGAGGGGTCTTTGCTGAAGATTTGTAGCACTACATATTGTAGAACTCAAACTGGAAAAGAGTAATGCTGTTTATTTAAGAGCCACTTGATTATAACAAATACATTTGCGTATTATTGTATCTGATGTTCTGATTTGTAAATGTCTAGATTATGATGTGAAATCTCACACCATTAGGCAATGTCTTGTCCCCGTTTAAACCACAGAGCGGACTACCCATGGCTGTACATTTGTTATGTGGTCCAAAGTCTGGGGACAGAGTTGAGAATTGATGATTTTTGAGTAAATTCCTTGACAGGAGTAAATTCCATGCAGAAATGTAGCCAGAGTTAGCAAGTAGCAGTACATGTAGAAAATGTAATTTGCTTCTGCAAAGATGGGAGAAAATGACACTTGGGAGCCTTGCCTTTGCACGCCTCTGGAGAACAGCTGAGGGAGGTATCTATCCTTTGCTTGAGGCTAGGCTAAGGACATGTAATCATTACTCCAAATTTCTCTGGCTTTAGAGGATGGTTTCTTTTTCATTTCCCTTTTTATTTTACAGCAACCACCCCTACACACAAAAAGAAGATTTACCAGTCAGTAGAAACAGCCACATTGCTAACAGTGCAGTAGCCTGGTTCCTGATCCTCGGAGCAGGAATCCACCGTCAGTGATGCTGCCTGCAAAAGCCCCACACACAAATATGGTGAATGTTACAAGCCTGTAGATCCCAACCACAATAAGTATTTATGATTAAATATATTAGATCAAGGACTTGGCTAGACTGGAGCACTTGTATATTACTATGTCACTCGGGACCAGAGGGTGCTTCAGAGATGCTGATCAGCTACATTCTGCATCAACATAGTGAATACCAAGATGTCGATGCTAACAGAGAATGAGCTCTGCTTCATACAGAGAATCAGTTAAACACAAATTTTTCAGATTTGGGTAGGGTTTCTTTCATGTTTGTTTGCTTTACTGCTTGACACTGCAGTTATTCTGGCTCATACCGTATCCCACTCTTGATCTAAACACGGCTTGAACTTGATAAAAAGCACGTTACAAAAACTGGGAGTACAAACACTGAGAGTACTAGTTAAAAATAATAACCAAACAATAATACTCAAAAGAGTAACAAAGTGGACCTGATTAAGGTAACCTTTAGGCTGATCGTCATGAGGGATGTTTGCCCCACATCGATAATAGTGAAACATGTGGATACCTACAGTGGGACCAAGCTGATGTTCAGAGAAGTACCAACCATCACCAGCACTTAGTCTTCCTCTTTATCTCCAAGCCATCAAGCCCCACACAAGGAGACTCCCTCATTACCCAACAGTCGTTTACACTAGTGGCACTTTTATTTGTAACCTCTAAAAGACTAACCAAAGCTTTCACTAAAGTCATTAAATAATTC